GCGCCGCACATATTACAAACTTTCACTAAAGTGCACTACATATTATAAGTAAAAGCAATGATACAGTGCAGTGGTGAAGAGTGTAGTGCTGGCTGGAATTAGGCTGCCTGGTTTGAATTCTGTCTTTGTAAAATGGAAATAAAACGGTACCTACCCCAAAGAATTATTTTGAGGAACAAGTGAGCAAACATTTAAAACTTCCAGGTGAATTTAAAATATTAGATATTAATATTAGTTGCTATCATTATTGTTATTAAGCACATCTCGTTTAGATTTAAGAACAAATATCAAGTGCTTTCATGTTCCTTACCACCTACAGTTCTGAATCTAAAAGAAACCACAAACAGCAGATATTGTTTTTTAATGAGTCCCCTCATCCAACCACTTAATCACTCAGCATTCAAAGAGTATGTGACTTTTCAAATGTGTTGTCGTTTTTAATTTAAGAAAAACCCTCAAATTATGAAGTCAATCAATGACAAAATATAATTTACTATTTAGTAGACTTAAAAGCATTATCCATTTTTATTTTCTTCTACATCTTTGATTATATGCTAAAAGAAAAAGAAGATAACTTTACCTTTTGAATTCTTGAACCAATTCTCAATTAAGAATGGATTACTCCAGAGAGAAAGACTCTTTTTAAAAAGTCTATGATAGAGGTTATTTAAATAAAAGAGAGTACCATATATTCAATATATGTTCCTCCTTCTCTCTATTTTGTTTCTTACTGGATTAAAAGTTCCTTGGCTTCAGGGATGTACCTATCTTATCTGTATCCATATAACAATGTCATTACAAAGACATTCAATAAATATTTGATGAGCATATAAACTAAAAGAGAGATTTGTGTAAATAGCATTGTAGTCTGTTGATTTTGGTCAAAGAGAAAAGCAAAACAGTTATTATCTTATAAAGGTTATGGGTAAATATGGAGCCCAGAATTTTTCTTGGAAATGTGTGCTTTTTTTTGTATTTCATAAGACTTTATTTAATTTAAACATATATTTTAAAAATTATCATGAAAGACATAAATTCTTCATTCAAGGTGAACTTGTTCAAAAGGCCCCATGTAGTTAACATCTAACTAAAGTTAGAATAAAATCATTTTTCCCCAAAAGTTAGCATCTAATAGAACAGAATTATGTTTAAGTTCTTATATATTGAATATTAAACATAACACTCTCATCTTGGACACTTTCCTGATTTTTCAATGCCTTCATTGGCAAAAAGGGATCCAATATCATTCCAACTAAGGATCAACTAAATGAAAGACTTTAAGCATTTGTGGTATAAAAAAGCTGACTCACCAGGTGTGCTCTGTTGTCAATTTTAAAAGCAGTGATTTCAAAATAAGCAAGTGTCAGTTGCAGTCCCAAAGATCACCAACTTGGGGCCGGGCATGGGGTGGAATGGAAGAAGAATTGTGAGGTTTTATAAGTTCTTGTCTGAGGCTGGATGGTGGCTCTTTAGGGTTGGCCCAGCGATTGATCTGGCTGTGGTCTGTAGGGCTGTACCAGTTTAGGGCCTGAAAGTGGATGCTGGCAGTCCAGGATTCCCTCACTTCTCCTAAGAGGACCCACTTTAATGTAATAAGATTATGTTTGCAGCATTTACCTGCCTGGTAGTAGTTACATGTTTGTTATGTATCAATTACAAACATAGGCCACGATCCACCTTGAGTTTAGTATCAATTTAAAATGAACACATTTTAATAATCATAATAGAGACTCAATGAATTTTAAAGAATAGCATTATATATATTTGCTAACCTTTTAAAAGAAACCCCAATACCTCTCAGACGTGGAATTGCTCATCTAGCTAATGTGTTTAACTCACTTCCTAGTAGGAAAATTCCATATGACTTGATTATTTTTTTCCCAAGTTGCTCTATCTTCAAAAATGTTTGTGCCTTTAGGAGGAATTATAATTGTAATTCATACTATGGGTATATATTTAAATGAGCGATTAATGAAAATAGTCCTCAATTATTAAAAAAAAAAAAAGTTGCGGAGGCAGTGGCCAATCTTCCCCGATGCGTCATGGTGGAGTCATTCTCAAAAACTAATGGCTACAAAATTGAGTAAACATAGAACCAATAAAGAAAAGATTTCTTCACACCATACGAAGAGTACATTGCTGTGGAAACTTTTGGGAGAAGCACAGCATTTTTTTTTTCACAGTGATAATATCTCATGCTTGCAAACATCAGCCACAAAGTAAAAAATTCCTCCCCACATATCAATACCATAGAGCTGACTGTTGCGGAATGACCCATTCGCCTCAGTGCGTTCCACCCCATCCTTCTTCTGAGCACAAAGCACAAGACTGTATTTGGTGAAACAAGCCATTAGGACTGATACATTCTTCTTGTCACTCCTTGCAAGTACCTCCCTATCATCGTGCAGAATAAGGAAACACTCCCAGTTGACACCTCATTCTTTCAAATTCTGCCTTAATTTTTCAAACTCTTGAGCTATTTATTCTCCAAATCTACTTTGAAAAACAAAAGCTATTACATAGCCAGCAGTCCCTTTTCCTAATTCTAATTTACCAAATTGTGATCTCTATCAATGCTCAGTAAAACTTCAACCTAGTCCCAGGATCATATTTCTTGGTTTCATTTTTTCTTTACAAAGAGCAGTTAAGTGATAAGTCACTTTCTGCTTGATTTCTTGGTAGATTCAGAAGCTAGATTTTGGAGCCCATAATTCTACCTCTCTCCCACTATGCATTGATTCATGACTATTGACCCCCCACCAAGTACCACCATCCCACCAAGTGCTAACATCAATGTTTACATATAATAATAGGTATTTTTAATGGATGATAACCTTGTGGTAGGCATTGTGGTAAGTACCTTCATTATCTTGATTATTATTATTATTATTCCTATTTTACATATGAGAAAACTGAAAGAAATTAAATTACTTGTCCAAGGGTTCAAAAGCAGACTTACTAAATCCATGATCTTAAGCATAGATGAAAGGATTTAGTAAGCATTTGTTTCCAACATGAAGGTTCTTGACATTAAAGGGCACCATTTGGGGTGAGGAAGAAAAAGATGGGGGAAAAAGAGGATAATAAGAAAACAATAAAAAGTAGGAAGGTAGAAGTTATTAACATCCATCAGATGTCATTTTCTATTCAAATATGTTTTCAGTAACATTAAAATGACTCACTGTTCTTAGGCCCTACCAGGGGATAAAATAAAAAGTAAAATCAGTTATGTATTCATACAGATTTGAATATATGACTTGCAACCAATAACATTTAAATAATACCAAGTAGTTTCATCAGGTGTGAAGTACCATATCTATAATTCTATGATTCTAGGTGGAAGATAAAAAATAATGGCTGTACGAAGTCAGAATGAAAAGAGATATCTGGAAGGTCAACAAATCCAGGCCTTTGAGGAGAACTGAGGAAATGAGTAGGACTTAGTAGCTCCAGTAAGACTCAGCCATTCCCCCAAACTGTGAATCCATCAGCACAGACAGGAAAGTGGGAATAAGCAAGGGTGCAGTGAGTTTTCCAGCCAGGCTGGGGTGAGACCATTTGGTGAACTAGTGGGAGCTGAGGTTGAAAAGACTGGGTTCAGGTTTGTGGCAGGTCTTGTCCAAAAGGCAATGAGCAGGCACTGAATGATTTTGTGCAGGGAAGTGATAGGATTAAGACAAAATTTGGGGAAGTTCAATCATAAGCAGCAGTCTGACGGATAGCAAATAGGACTGAACGAAATATATAATTTAGGACTCTCTTCATACTTACTCGCTGCATTGAAGCCGTAAATGCATGTAGTACCATGGAAACAGAGGCACCGAGAAGGAAGATGTGGACATGAAAGGCACCCCTGGGGAGTCACACGTGTACACACACACACACACACACACACACAGTTTTGGCAGAAACCAGGCATCGTTTCCACTATTGGGAACACCAGCGCTGGTTTGGGGTCAAGTTATGCCTGTCACCCAGAGCAACTAAAACCACCCACTTATTCAGGCAAGTGACCCCACAGAGCAAACCAATCCACCTGGCCCATGCTCCCCACCTCCGCCCTGAGGAGTCAGAGGGGAAGATGGAAAAGTTCGGGGAGTAGTCCCCGGCTCGCCCGAAGGGCATTTTTTCATTCCTCAGCCGCTGTCAGGTGTGAGAGAGGGAGGAGGACATCCGGACTGCGCGCGAGCCACTCCTCCTGCGGCCCATTATGAAACTCCGGACACTTTGCACCTCACCCCGCTAGGAAGTCCTCCAGCCCCAGGCTCCTCCCCGGGCTCTTATAAAAGTCGCGTCGTGGGGCCAGGGAGCTCCACTGCCGGACAGACCGGTGTCAGGGGAACGTGGCAGACGGGCGGCCTCCGGTCTCTCCACCGCGCTCCAGCCGCAGCCCGGCCACCCCGCGCTCCCGCCCCGCGCCGCTCGCCGCCCAGCTGAACCCGAGCGCCGCGTCCCGCCGGACATGAGGGAGCCGCGTTCGCCCCCCTAAACCGCGCACGCGCACTGCTGCTCGGCCTGGGTAAGCCCCCCGCCTGCCGCCGGGGAGTTTGACAATCGGGGAGTTTCCGCCGGCTACTGGGCACCTTGGAAATGATGTCTCTTTCGTGCCCGTCCGTCTCTCCCTCCAGCCCGGGAGGAGGGAGATCGGCATAAAAAACGCTTTTCTTTGATAAATTAACTATTGGTCTATGTGTCATGCATGGATTTATACAGCTCCGTTTTAGGCAGAATAAAAAGTCGAAAAGTTTTGGGGTTTTGCTTTTAAATTTGCTTTCTAGAGACCAATGCGCTCTGACACTTCAAGCCGCGATCTTTCTCTAGGGGCCCGGGGTGGGGAGGGGGCGGGAGGAGATGAGCCCGGGGCGCGGGAGACCCTTTGGGAAGTAGTGCTTTCCTGCCGTTTGCCCTCCGTTCTCTAAGTCAAGCCTGGATGAGCTCCCGGGGGCCGGGCGGCAGTTTGCTGGAGCCCCAGACCCCCGGGATGAAACCGCTGTTCTTACCTGGAGCGGAGGGACGCGCCCAGGTCCCGGAGCTCCTCGCCGCCAGTCGCCCGCTCACCTGCCCTTTCGGGTTTGTCCCTGAGCCCTCGTGGCGGATGGCTGGTCAGCGCTTTTCACTGGCGGGCATGGCGCCCCACAGCCTGTAATCGCTGAGTGTACTTTGATGCCTATCATCATCCTATTTGAAATGAGTTAATGTTAGTCGACGGGGGTGGGGGGGGGGTGGGGGGGAATCTAGTGTAAGCTTCCTAGTTTGAATATATATATATGGCTTCTCTCCATTCCTTAAAGTTGAAGAGGAATTTGGAGTTGCATATGAAGATTTAAATAAGGAAATAAAACTTGCCAGTCTCACATTCTTTCTGGACGCGCAATGAGGCGAATTCCCCTACTTACCTACCTACCTACCTACCTACCTGTGCAGGATGTGACAGTTAAATTGTTATTTCGACACGCCTTATCTCAGGGGTTGAGACCTAATGAAATGCATGCTACGCATAGTGGAACGTGTCCAAGTTCAGGAATGTAAGTGGAAACTGGATGTCTGGTTTCTACCAGAACTGTGCTAAGGACTTGGTAGAAGATTCTCTAGTAAATAATGTGGCTTTGCTGTCTTTGTGTTTAAATCTCTGTGAAAATAATAAAATTGGAAAGGTGACAGTCTTCCTAGAGTTAGAGCTTAACCTAGAGGTCACAATGGCTTAGCGCTTTCCCCCCTCACCTGTAAGGTTGCATCCGAACAATGCCAAGTGTCTGTTCCGGGACAGTCATTAAATATTCTAATTTGAGACAGCAAGAGCCTATGAATAACCTGGTTACTACCCACCTATGTTGTGTGTGTTTTTGTTGTCATGAAAGTGCTTAACTCCTTTATTGCATTACTTAATTATAGTTCACTTATTTCATCAGCTGCCAAGCCCATTTCCAAATGAGCTAGGTCAGTTTCTGTTTTCCCAGTGTGTTCAGATATTTCTCTGCCACTAGGAAAGTTCCTGTTTGAAGTTCTATATCATTTCTCCACACTCTATGCAGGTATGCAAGTCCAATAGTTTTATTCTAAAGCACCTGGAAAAGAATAGTTTTAGAATAGTTTTATTCTAAAACTTAGAATAGTTTTATTCTAAGCACCGGGAAAAAGGTAAGGTCATCTGTTAATTCTGAAATTGCCCCCTCCCCAACAAAAATATAATCTAGAAAAACTTTTCCCAAATGACTTTTCTCATTTATTTTAGATTTCAGCAAACTGTTTATTATTTCCATTTTGTGGAATTCACATGTCTCTTTGATACTTAGGGGCTCTTGATCTAAAATAAAGCATTTTCATTGATACCCAAATGGACTTTTGAGTATATTCCTGAATGATATCTCCAAGACAATTTCTGCGTACCTCATTGCACAATGACAGAGAATTGAGCAGAATAAACATTTATTTTCTTGAAAATATGGGAAGCATGGATCTCAATGAGACATTGGCTCTCCTCGGATCTTTTCTGTTGACCTGAGAGTTCGTGAGCTGCCTGAATGTTAGCACACCTGAGATGACACCTCTAGGCAGAAAACATGACGACAGGCCTCTCCTGTCTGGGTTTTGACCCAGGTACCCAGCTGCCTTCCACATCACCTGGCCATATGAACAACTTGGGTAACTGGGGTATGTGGTTCCACATTGGGGGCCAAATCTAGGAGTTTGGAAGGGAACTAACAGTTACCAAATGCCTACTGTGAGCCAATCATGTTGTGTGGTAGGTGCTTTATACATATCATCTCACTTACTTCTTAAAGTAACTGTATGAGGTTGGTATGAATAGCCCAGTTGGACAAATGAAGAAACTAAGGCTCAGGAAAGAAACTAGAGTAAATGGCAAGAATAAATGTCTTCTGTCCATTTTTGCCCAAGAATCTCCCATTTCCTGGTTAATGGTCACACAAAAGATACAAATGTCATGTAAGAAATCCTCTTCAGACTATAAATTAAGGTGTGGTTTCCTCATCTGTAAGACTTCACCCTGAGTATAGACTTATGCAAAGTGTCTAACTAATAAGGTTGTAATTTCTGCTGGGAACATTTCTTAGGAAGGAAGACAATGGTGAGACACCCCAAAGCTGTGATATCCTTGGGGAGGAGCACCCTGACAGCCATCCCCTTGGTATAGCAATTCTGGAAGCTTTAACAAGTGAAGTAATATGGCAGACTCAGTGTCCTCTGGCAATGTGTTATGAAAGACTGGGTGTCTACTTACAGGGCAAAGAAAAGTTCTGTGACATTCTAGGTTAAAGTAATGACTTTATTAACTAGGATTCTATCTATAACACACAAGATGACTTGATAATTGTCCAGAAAAAATGTTAACCCTTAACTTTTTTAGGACAAAAATCCTGAATTTTAAATTTGAGGCATGAAAGTGAGTTAAATGCAAATCCTCTTGCAAACCCTCCAGATCAGGAAAAAAGTCTCACTCTCATATATAAAAATATACATATTTATAGATGTCAAATTTGATAGTTTTGAATCAAAAGACATAGATAGTACATAGAATCTAGGGTTCACACCCCAGTTTTTTATTTGATACTTCCAGAAAGGTTTATTCCTTTGTGAACCTCAGTTTTCTCAGCTGTAAGATGGAGATCATAATAACTATGTCACCAGGTTATTGTATATGGAATTAACAAATTGAATATTAGAAAATAATAAAAAATACTTTTAAAATTAGAGCTATTTTCATCATCATCATCATTAAGTGCTTTCTTATAAAACACCTCATTTAAACTTTATAACTCTCGTTTAACCAGGAAAGGTAGCATTATTCACATTTTTTAAACAAGGAAACAAATTTAAAAAGAAGTGTTATCCCTCGCATAAGGCTTCATTTTTTAATGTGCGGACCTTCTGCTGGGGACGACCCTATCTCACTCTTCACTTTTGGTGAAAGACCTACTCATTCTTTAAGTCTGGAGAAAAGTGTCAAGCTTTCTCTGATAACCCCCTCCACCTTTCTTCTCCCACCACTCAAAAAGAAGTATATAGATTTACCTGACAGGGAAGATACCATGGTCACAAAGATGGTTTTCTCAGGACCAGGGGTATCTATTACACCCCAGATGTGCTGACCCCTGAGACGTCCCCAACTGTGGGAAACTCGATTGCACAATTTGTGGAAGTGGGGGACTGTGTTCACATTCTCCCCTGGCATAAATAAACAATATAAGATAAAGTAAAAATACATAAATAAATGTGCAGCCTGTCCCCCAGTCCCCTTGTACCTCTCCCATTCCTGTGGTCCTGCCCTTTTCAAGTAATACTGTGCATCTAGCCCTGTTTCTCCTTACTGGTGCTGCATTCGTCTGTTTTCATTCACACTGTGATACACTAATATTAAACACTCAATAAATGTTAGTTGGATGCATGATTAGCTTGATACTTTTAGAATTCTCACCACTATGTTTTGACTCAGCCAGCTGTTCTTCGGAAATGTACTTGAGAAGCTAAATATTTTAAGACTAAGCAGTAGTTCTTTAAAATTCAACTTTGTTGTTTATGATAAAACCTAATAATTGTTCTATAAAACCTAATAATTGTTCTTCCCACATTTCCCCATTCATGTCTGTATTCAGTGATGATATGCCTAAAAAAATTTAAGCATATTTTAAATTACACACTGTGTGTGTGTGTGTGTGTGTGTGGTGTGTGTGTGTGTGTGTGTGTGTGTGTGTGTGTGTGTGTGTGAGAGAGAGAGAGAGAGAGAGAGAGAGAGAGAGAGAGAGAGAAATTGGGCAGTGATATGACTGAATGATGAATAGTCAGTAAAAGAAAGAAAAGTATTGTTTTAGAAATGAAAGGGACCTTAGAGTAAGTAATTTAATCTAAATTCCATCCCCCTCTAACCTACTCCATTCCTAGGTCTCTATTTTCAGAGAAAAGGAATCTCAGCTGCAGGGAAATAAAATTAGTTTCTGAGCTACAACTAGACTCCATCCCTCCTGTCTCTAATGCAGGGTTTGGGGACCTTGGCCATATTCACATTATGGACTGGATAATCCTTTTATGGGAGTCTTCCTATGAATTGCAGGGTGTTCAGCAGCAATCCCTGGCTTCTACCCACTAGATGTCAGTAGCACCACCCCCCCGAGTTGTGACACCCAAAAATGCCACCAGGCATTGCCAAATGTCCCTGGTTGACAAAATTACTCTGGATTGAGAATCACTAGCCTAATGGGTTTTCCACTAGCACTCATAATTCAAAGTTTGAATAATCAATGCTTGAGTTACCAAGACAAATAAAATTAATATTAATGGTAAGCCAGATGCAAGCATAAAACCAATTCTAGTGTTAAAAAAGTCAACTGAGCAATTTTTATTGCTGATTTTAGCACCATTTGCCCTGAATAATGATGAATCCTATTTATGATGGTGTCACTCAGACTTTCTTCATATGTAATTGCTTTGCTGACTACCCCATGCCTCCTTTTATAATTCTACCTATTGGTTCAGACAACACTGAACTTCCTTTTTTCATGAATTTCCTTGGCCATTTCTAATCACTCTTGATTACCTATTTCCTGAAGTTCTATCATACTCCATTTCATACTAGTTCCCTTGAGACATCTGAATGGCTCCTATGCCTTTAAAGGTCATATTCCCTCAGATGAATTTCAAATAGACGCCATCAACTCAATTCTTACGCTTTTATTTAAGATTTGTATTCCTAAGGGCCTAATAAGTGTAAATAGGTGACATATGAACTACATACTCAAATTCCTTCACTCATTATGTTCTCCGTTCATGTCTACCATATTTCCAAGAGCCTCTGCAAACCTGCTGGTCTGCCTGTGTCCTACTCTTTTAATGGCACCACCCTCCTTGGTATTGTCTAGCCAGGAACTTGACATCATGTATGAGTTCTCTCCTGTCCTCTTCATCCCCAGGTGTCTAGCCCAATAACTCTATTTAGGACAGGAGCTCTATCTTTTCCACCAATTTTCCTTTCAGCATCTTGTTCAATATCTCACAGACAGAAAACCCTCAGTAAATATGTCTTGAACAAATAGAATCTGAGACATGTAGTTACTAAAAATAAATATAGGCAAATCTAGTCTCCTTTTTTATTTATTGGGCGTAACTAAGTTCTTCCCATCCTAGCATTATACTACGGTTGCATTTATGCTTCTTACTGAAGCTGAAATCTCCAATTTAACAAAAAT